CTGTCCGCTGCCGCCCACCATGGGCGGGCGAACTGGCTTTGCACGCCATGCCGGCAGGCGGGGGCTCGGCCGCGGCAGGATGGGCTCTGGCCAGGGCTGGCTGTTCCCCCTCCTCACTCACCTGGTGAAACCGCACGAGGATATTGGAGAGCTGTATTCTGTCCGGCAGCGGCAGAGGGAAGCCCTGATCTAACCTGGCTGGAAGAGACAACACACGTGGCCGCATTGGGATGGGAACGGGAGCAAGAGGGAGCACGGGCCGTGCAAAGCAGGCGGCCACCTCCTCCGCCCGGCCCTTTCTTCACCCCTGCTGCTCCCAGGGTCGGCAGAGGAAATTCCTCCCAAGCTCCACAGAGGGGCTGGGGGCTGCACGTTGTGCTGTGCCACCCCACTGGGCCCCTGGCAGCCACCAGCCCCGCTCTGGCCCCATTTGCTGGGGAGTCATGAGAAGCAGCGAGCAGGGGAGAGGGTCTGGAAAGCATTAGGATGTGCGTCGTGCTCATTTTTTCCATTGTGTTCACTGCTGGATGCATGTCACAGCACTGAGAAAGGCTCCCACACACTGCTGCCCGCAGCCTGCCTGTGCCGGGCGCTTTTACTGCCGTCTCCTGCACTCACTGCAGGCTTTATCCACAGATCAGGCTTGGCAACAGGGATTTAATTATTGAGCTGGGCCTGCTTGGATGGAGCAACCTGGCCAGCAACTATCCCAGCACCCCCATTCCCCCCAGCAGATTCTCACCATTAAGACGCGGGAGCAGGATACTGGAAGCAAATACGTTCATTATGGACTGCAGCATTCGCACCTGGGGAGCGGAGAGAGGGGGACAGAAAAGAGCTTTAGCCTGCGGGACAGCAGGTGACCAGGCACTGGAGGATAATTAGGAGAAGAAAAAGAGATGAGGAGCTGGGATGGGCACACGTTTCGCCAGAGGCCAGTGGCTTTGCCTGGCTATGCTGGCGAGGTGGGAAGCGTAGGGGTGAGAAAGGCAATGGCATCTGGCTCTGCATCCTCTCCCAGTCTCACAGGCTGAGGCAGGAGGCATCCATGGGGTCAGCGTGGGGTCCTGGGTGCACCCCCAGGTCCCGTGTTGGGGGGCAGGGGGGGAATGAGCCCTCTCCTTGGCCCCCAGCAGGCTCTCGCCTCCATGCTGGTGGGGGCTCTGGTCATGGTCAAGGATAGCATACCTGGAAAGTGCCAACATCCGAATGCTTCAGAGAGAGCTTCATCCTGCGCAGAGACAGAAGTGGTGCTGTGAAGGCTGTCCCAATGGAGGGAGCAGTTCCCACCTCAGTGCTGCCTGTCGATGGC